CCCGCCGCCGCCACCTCGTCCGAGGCCACCCGCTCCCGCCCGGCTCTGGAACCACACCCGGCTCCAGGAAGGCCGAGCGCGCACGCGCGGGACTGCGGCCCGCCCCAGCGAGGCAGCCCCGGCACCGCAACGCCGAGGGGCGGGGCGCCGCGGTGACCAATGAGAAGTCCGAGGCGGCCGGCCGCAGGGCCAGCTGGGAGCGCGAGGCCGGCGTGTCTATCAGTGGACTGAGGGGCGGGGCGGTCGCCAAAACCAATGAGAGCTCGAGGCGGCCGCGGGATCTGCCGGGAGCCGGGCTCCGGGGAGCGGGGGAGGCGGGGAGCGGAGGGCCATGCTGCTCTTCTGCCCTGGCTGCGGGAACGGCCTGATCGTGGAGGAGGGACAGCGCTGTCACCGCTTCGCCTGTAACACCTGCCCCTACGTGCACAACATCACTCGCAAGGTGGGGCCCGAGCGCCGCCCGCGCCCTCCGGCGGCCCGGCTGACTCGGCGGGGCCGGGTCGGAGCGACCTCGCGCGGCTCCACGGCCGGCCCTGCCCGCCCGGCTTCACCTGCGGGAGCGTCCCCTGCCGCGCACGTGTCGCCGCCGGGGCCTTGTCTGGTTCACCTTCCCCAGATAGCACTTTACTTGTGGGTCTTGTTTTACTTAAACGTAACGATTTAAAGTTACAGCCCCTGCTTCTAATTTATCCTCCTTCCCTGTTTTGCTTTTTCCATAGGACTCATTACCTTTCCTATTAATCCTAGGCTCTAGGGGGCAGGGATTTTTATGTTTTGCTCCCTGCTCTGTTCTAGTCTGAACGCCCAGAATATAGTGGCTGTTCAGGGACTGAAAATGGACTTGTTACATTACATCTTGTTACATAAGTTACAACTTATTGTACAACTTGTTTTCTCTTGAGAATGCATCTTCACCTTTTAGAATACCTTTACTTTTTAAAAGTTAGGTCACACTGGTGCTACCTCATTCTTAATGTTTTGCACCGTACACCTTATAGCTGTATTGTGGGGACTTAGAGTCTGAAACCAAAGGAAGAGTGAACTCTTAGGTAACCCTCAAATTTCAGGGATGTCTGTTAGAACTTGAGAAAGAAGCCAAGTGTGACCTGCTTTGAAAGCTCTATGCCTGAGGGGGGAGTGTCTGGGCTATCCAGCTGAGTGGTGCTGGTTGGCTTTAGTTGTGTTTGTTTCTTTCATCTTGAGTTATCAAGTAGCTTCGAGGTATAAGAGAAGAGGAGGGTCACTCCCAAGCTATTTTTCTCTTCCTTCTCAGGTGTTTCCTCCAGTCTTTGAAGAGCTCTCTATTAGCTGAATCTCTCTCTCTTCTGCCTCGGGGTTGTCCCAATCCTGGGTGTTCTAAATCCGCTGGAGCGTGCTGCTCTGTGAGAATAGGGACTTTGTTTTTATTCGATATCCTTCCACTCTGTTGAAGGAAAGAAGTCTAGGAGACATTTGAGGGCAGTTGTGGTTTGGTGACCGAGGTTTGCATGGTACACTTACTTGGAGCCTGAAGGCTTGTTTTTGTTTGTTAGGTAACAAATCGGAAGTATCCAAAGCTGAAAGAAGTGGATGACGTGCTTGGGGGAGCAGCTGCCTGGGAGAATGTTGACTCTACTGCAGGTGAGAGGGAAAACCTTGTCCCTCACTGAGCTGTGGATAACTATATAGTTTGTTACACAAACAATATTGGTACAAAGTTTGGAGTTTGGGTTAGATTTTCAGGGCAACTTCTAATTGTTGTAGGACCTTGGTTGGGTCTCCTGATGTATTATTCTGTTTTCTGTTGCTGATAACAAAATATGTGAAAGTGGGTTATTTATAAGAAATTGAAATTTATTTTTACAGTTTTGGGAAGTCCAGGGTCCAGGGAAGACATCTGATGAGGGCTGCCTTCTTGTCGGTGACTCTCTACAGAGAAACAGGGTGTCACATGGCAAGAATGGCGAGAGTGCTCTAATGTGCTCATTTGCTCTTCTTATAAACCCACCAGTCCACACCTATGATAACCCATTAAACCATAACCCATTACTAAGTGTATGTATTAACCCATTCCCTAGGGCACAGTCCTCACGATCCAATTGCCTCTTAAAGGCCCCACCTTTCAAATACCATAATTGTATTTCCTGCCCTCTTAACACTGTTATAATGGGGGTCAGGCTTCCAACACATGAACTTTTGGGGGACACATTCAACCTGTAGCACCTGACTTCTCTGTAGCTAGTCTGTACTCATAGGTTGGGAGACCACAAAACGAGTCATATAGTGCTTGGTATATAAGAGGCATCCAACGAGTGGTAGCTCTGATGATGGCAGCAACAATGACTGAAGTAATAGAAAACCAGAGTCTAAGGGGAAAAAATATGGCTTTTATTTCTAATACAGATTTTTTAAAGTTAATGCCAGGGAGCTTTACACAGCAGATTGGGTAAAACGTTTATTTCAAGTCTTGATTCATATCTGATAGAGATAGATGTGACCAGGGAAGGAAAGAGGAGGACTTAGATATAAACTGTATTGAGAGCGGAAAGAGAAAACTCATAATTAGTACTACTTTTTTCTCCCTACAGAATTTACAAATTAGGTATGTCAAAAAGTTAGCATTGGTAGAATTTGTCATTAAAAGATGGATCACATACCTAATGTTAGAAATGGTGTTTGAGAGTGTTTGAAGGTGTTTCTATCAAAAGCAGTGTCAGTTTCTCAAAGTGAAATCACTTTGAAGGTAAACATGTACCTTGCAGCACTTTGAGAAGGTGTGGGATATGCAGTAAGATGTTGATAAGAGCAGCCTGAGGAACTGCTGCCAGAATGGATCCCTGAACAGTCATTCACTGGGAAGATGAGAGGACATGTGTCCATTTCTCAGGGGGAGGTGATGCACTTAGTAGGAGGAATCTGCCTTGTGTGGACCCAGTGACACACACAGCAGCCGCAAGTCACTGCCTTAGCCAGTTTTTGCTGCTATAACAGAATACCACTGACTGGGAAATTTATAAAGAACAGAAATCTATTTTTCATAATTCTGGAGTCTGGGAAGTCCAAGATCAAAGTTCTGGCAGGTTTGGTGTGTGGCGAGGGTCTGGCTGAGTGCTGCACAGGAATGCAGGGAGCAGAGACCAGAGGCTGGCCTGCGTAGTGGGCTCCAAGGTCCAATGGGCACCATGGACTCCTCCCCTGAAACTGTTCTGCATTCAAGGCCCTAGCACTCTGGGCCTGTGATGGGTGGGGTATCCCCCCACCAATATCTCTGAAATGACTTTGGGGGTCCTTTTCCCATTGTCTTCATAAATAGCATCTGGCTTCATTCTATCCGTACTAATCTCCTTACCAAACAGTCCTTGGTTTTCCGTTCTAAGCATACCTTTTTATTCTTTACATGGCCAAGCTGAGAAAAAATATTTCTCTCAACTTTAGATTGTTTCTCTCTTTTCACATTTTACTAGAGGCAGTTAAAAGAAGCACGACAACATCCTGAACACTTTGTTGGTTAGAGATTTCTTCTGCCAAATGTCCTAGTTCATCACTCTTAAGTTCTGACTTTTATGAAGTCCTAGGACACAGACATAATTTAGCCAACTTCTTTGCCACTGTGTAATAAGGATGTTCTTTCCCCCAGTTTCTTAAGGTATTTTTCATTTCCATCTAAGACCTCATCAGGTTCATATTTCTACTGACATTCTGTTCACAACCACGTAAATAATCTCTAAGAAGAATGAAGCTTTCCCTGTAGCTCTTTTCATGTGAGTCCTCCCAGAATCACCCTTAATACTCAGTTTACAGCCATGAAGGCTTTTTCCAGCATTTACTTTAGCTGTTCCAGCCTCTAATGGGTACCCAGTCTCAGGTGTTTTGTTACAGCAGCACAGAATGGTCTTGAGGTGGCACCTTCCTTGTTGTTTCCAACCGGTCTTCAACCAGATTGATGAGAAAAGGGATCCAGGGAGAGCAAGAGCAGTGTTTTCAAGACCACAGGTCTCCCCAGTTCCCTCAGTTCTAGAGCATAGTGGGAATGATGCCACTGTTTGTAGATTTCCCTGGGCAAGGGAGACTGGGTGAGCAGGGGAAGGGGTGGGGGTCTTTACTGCTTTAATGCGATACCTACACTTAGCAGGTATGTCACTCACGAGCATCATTTCTGTATACTGTGGGTCACTTGTTGGTTTTTCTCATTGCCAGAGCCTTGTCCCAAATGCGAACATCCTCGTGCTTACTTCATGCAGCTACAGACCCGCTCTGCAGACGAGCCGATGACCACCTTCTATAAGTGCTGCAATGCTCAGTGTGGACACCGCTGGAGGGACTAGGGCCAGGCTGGCTCAGCTGCATCAGTATCTGCTCACCTGTCTCATAGTGTAGATGCCAGCTGGGAGTATGAATTGTGTGTCATGAGAATCCCCTTTTAGGGTGGAGGGCCAGGGTGTTAGGAAATGTAGCCCATTTGCCAATCAGAGTGGATGAAGTCGTTAATGTCCAGGAGGTTTTTGAGTGGGGGGAGGAGACCCATAACTAAGTGTATTCTGTTTAAGGTCCCATTTGTTCATCTTTTACATTTATTGGGCAATCAACATTTCTTTACCACAAACCAGCACTCTTAAAATATTTGTATTGTTTGCACAACTTAGTATATTAAATGTCCCTAAATGTTAAACTCTTAATTGTAAATTTATTTAATCAAAATTTATTCTGACTGTTTCATAAAAGTGAAGTCTAATATTACCTTCTCAGTGTTTTGAATACCTTAAGAAATAAGACAGCAAACCCCAAATCACAGTGATCCCAAAATTGACTACTAAGGTTTAAGCAAGTTACAAAAATGCTAATAAACATGGATTTCAATTATTGTTTATTATTTCTATTCTTATTTCTTTTTTTTTTTTTTTTTTTGGTGGCTGGTACAGAGTTCCACCCCTGGACCTTGGTTCTATTCTTATTTCTTATTTCACTTTTAAAAGCTTCCCTGATTTGCTTCCTAGGGTTACAATAAATGTATTAGAGACTGTTTTTACACTTTATGCTTTCTGTGTTAATCTTTCCACTCTGAGAAGAAAGGACACCTCAGACTAGCTGGGGATGGGATCTAGGTTAGTGAGAGCTTAATTCTTGTTCAGGGCCCTGGACTTCATTGCTTTCCAAATCTCTTAATAGTGAGTTCTCACTTCTGAAATCATAGGGCTTAAATTTCTGCCTTTGATACAGGTTTTTACTTTTTTGAGACTTGGTGTCTTTTCTAGAAATGATGTCATCTTTACATTTAACATGATTTTTTCTTACTATAATTGTTGACCAGGTCCTGAGCCCATTATCTCTATTTGGTTCTATTTCAGAATGGTTTGTTCTGGTTTCTCAAATGCAATTTATCATGGCAGTATTGTTTTTAGTATCTTCTGTGTAGGCTACTAGTTTTATTTCCTCAGGTGCCAGTTCTTGTGTGTGAGTTTCATTTGGGGAGGCACCATGTATCAGTGGTGTAGGTGATGTGCTCTGAAGCCGGCCTCCCTGTGTGGCTTCAGTCAGGCTGCTGAATTGCTGACTTCAGTTTTGCATCTGTCAAATGGAAATGGTAATCTACTTCAGGGGTTTACGAACATTTTTTTCTTAAGGGCCAGATAGTAGATATTTTGGACTTCGTTGGTCAAGAGGCAAAATCTAGGAAAACAAAACAAACTTCCACAAGTTTGGTTTTTTAAAAAAAATTTTATTGAATCAAACTTGATTATACATATTTTTGGGGTTCAACATTGAGAAATGTTGATCAAATCAATATTACTAGCATATATATTGTTACAAATTGTAATTATTCTTTATGCCCCTTGTCCAGTCTCTCCTCATCCCCCTCTCCCTCCCCCCTCCCCCCTCTAATCACCCTGGATTTCTTCTTTCCTTCTGAAAGAGTAATGGTTACTCTGTAGATTTATTGCCTAGATGATCTGTCCAATGCTGAGAGGTGTGTTCAGGTCCCCCAGTGTTATCATAGAGCAGATGCTTCTTCTGTCACTCTGAAATGGGCTTTGTGGGGAGAGACGTCCTCTTTTCTTTATCTCTCCTGGTGACTCTCCTTCTGTCAATGCACTTCAGTGGCTCCACAAGTTTTTTTTTTTTTTTTAATGATGACCGGTAAGGGGATCTTAACCCTTGGCTTGGTGTTGTCAGCACCACGCTCACCCAGTGAGCTAACCGGCCATCCCTATATAGGATCCGAACGCGTGGCCTTGGTGTTATCAGCACCATACTCTCCCAAGTGAGCCACGGGCCGGCCCCTCCACAAGTTTTTTATGGACAAAATTCAAAATGTAATAATTATTGAGAACAATTTTTGTAGTGTGGGTCTATTAATGAGAAGAATGGATGCATTTTGTTTAATTGGGGTTCAAAGTTAGTGTCAGGCTGGATCACAGACCCCTCTGCCCTGTCCTGTGCAGATCCTGAGTCAGGTAGTTGAAAAAAGATTCTGGTGGCTGATAACAGGATAGACATGCTTCATTCCGATAGGAGCTCTGCCGGCCAGCGGTTCAGAGGTGCTGCCTTTTATACTGAAGTACATAACAATGGCTACGAGCCAAGGAGTATATGGGCATACGTGAGCAGTTACACTACTCATAAATAACTTGTTTACAATGGATGTGCTGAGTCATACCCAGCCGGATATGAGGAGGGGGCCTGACTGTACTGACTCCATTTCCCTCACAGTGTTGCCTAGTCACCAAAATCAGTTGCAAATGTGCATCTGTTAATGCTGGTTAAGTGCAGGAGAGCAAGTGATGGTGTTCACCGTCCCACACTGATGATGGGCTCAGCAGATTCACTGCTGTAATAGATTCACGTATTTCCCACCGAGTACTTGCTGAAGAAAACAGTGAAAAGCCAGAGGCTTTAAACACTTCATGTTTCCACAAGCTTTGTAAACATGCCCACCTGAGCCCTTTCCTCCTCCACACACACATTCCTCTTCAGCGTCTACTGAATTAGTTTTCTCAGCTTTGGGAATATTTTTGCCTGCGGTTGTTCCCTGCAGACCACGCGCAGAGGCTCATTCTTCAGTCACTCCCAGCTTGACACCGAGGCATTAGCTCTTTGAATAAACAGCAACTGAGCAGCATCAGTAAAGTGTCGATTCAAGAGCCGAGGAAAACGACTTCAAATCATTCACCTTTTAAAAAATTTCATATATATTTTTAAATCTACTTATTATTTTTACATTCTAAGGTGGAGCAGTGGGAGGAAGAGGGTGAGGGGGTGGAGAAACCGAGGTGTGGGGTGGGGCTGGCCCACGGCCACCTCCTTCCCTGGGCTGGATGGGACATCAGGGGGTCTGGTTGAAGCCCCTCAGCACCCCCACCCCAGCTCAGTGGCCTGGGGGCTTCCGGTTCTTCTAGGTTTTATAGGTGTTCTTTGGTGGTATTAGACATTTACTGGTTAATATCAGAACTTGTCTCTGGTCTGTGGGTTTTTTGTGTTTTCTTTCAGTTCAGCTACCCTACCACTTAAACTCTGCACTGAACCTAACTTGTCCTTTGCTTACTTCCAAAATGGAGGATCTTCCTGTGGGAACCAGCACTTGGGCCCTGTTGTTGAGCTAAATTGCTGCTTTGCTGCTGATTCTCTGGGGTAGGCTTTTTGTGCAGCTCAGGTTTTAATTGTTGACCTTGTAAGCACTCTGGGTCTTGTGAGATCCCGTACACCTGGGTTGTGTGGAAACTTAAGTCTGGGCCTGAGTCTTTCAGCAAACTGCACCCCCTGCAGTTTTGCATTCCTGACCAGTCTCCACCAAGTGGGCCTGTGCTGATTGGAGGGCAGATCAGCTGTCCATGCTGTGCCCTGGTGTTCCCCCTAGGCTGTCATCCTCCCCTCCCCCTGCACTCCAATCACTTCCTGTGAGACAGGACATGTGCCAGGCCCTTGGGGCCTCTGAGTGGCTCCTTATTTCAGTTGTCTGGCTCCTCACTCCTATGTGGGTCCGTGGGAACACTGTCAGTGGTCTTGCTGGCCTGGGGGCCACCAAGGCCCTCCTCTCCCCTGTAGTCTCCAAGCAACTTCACACAAAGGGCACAGCTATGGCTTTTGCCAGCTCTTGCTCCCTGCGCTCAGCAGTTTCAGCCTGAAAGTGGCGGGGGCTCAGAACAGTCGGAGCGGTCCCTTTCTCTCATCGTGGCTTTTCCTGCCTTCGTGAACTCCATAGGTCTCTCTTCCTCTTCCCCCGAGCTCTAGCGGCCCCAGCTTGGCTGTCTTTGCTTTTTAATAGTTGTAAATTTGTTGATTGTTGGAAACAGTGACGCTGGGGACCGTCTACTCTGCCATCTTGATTCTCTGCCTCCCTCATTCACATTTTCTCTGAACATACTTCTTCAGCTGCTACACGTAGCACAATTTAATTAACTTCACCAGTAAGTGGCTTTCTTTGCTTAGCTAATAAGTGAGCCACTTGGAAACTTAATTTGGTTGCAGACTCAGTTTTATTTTTAATTATTGTGAAGAACTTCTGCTGTGTAATGTTGACCAGCTGTAGTGTCATCGCATAATAAACAATCTTTTGCCATCCAATTTGATAACAAGGTCCACACTCCAGTATGCCTTAAAAATACGACATTCAGAGTCCACTTTTCTTGTTTTGACATGATGGGTATGCACTGGTAATAAGCAAATTAATAAAAGAGTACTTTAAAAAGTTTGTGGAAAAAATGGAATTAAACGATAATACAAATCTTTCCATGAACTTTTTGAGGTTACACCACCTTCGTATTTTGCAGTATGACAAAGTGGTCCTTGAAATGCTGCTTTAAAAACTGCGTCTCTGATTTGTAGTGAGCTGGCAGCTGTCTCAACTAGAGTGCAAAAGCAGCTCCAGACAATCCATAAATGAGCATGGCTGGGTCCCCATAAAACTACAGACATAGGATTCTGGAAAGATGAAGCAGGAAGCACTAGGAATCTGTCTCTCCACCTAGTCAACAACTGCACTGGCAGGATCTGTCTGATGTAACTATTTTAGAATTAAGTCTACTCCAAGGCTTGCAACTTCCAGGGGAAGCCTTGGATGGTAAATTGTGGTTAAATTTGACAAACTGAGGCTGATATCTATCAACTTCCGCTCCTAGCAGCTACCCATCCCCCAACCCTGGTGCAGGCAGCCTTGCACGTGTTCTTGGAGCCCCTTGCTGACAGCTTGTGGGAGCCCAGGTGAGCAATGAGGGCCTGGTCCTCCAAAAAATTGGAGATCTGTGTTCTGATTGCTGATTGCTGCTTCTGATGTGAGAGGTGCAGACACAGAGGGGCAGACATTGTTGCACCCCTCCCCCCACCGTTTCCAGCAGCTAAACCTTCAGCTGAAGCAGCTTCCAGGGGATTTAAAGAGCCAGCTCTCTCTCTCCCTTCATATTTGTCTTTTTTTCCTTCTTGGGGGCCAAACATTTAAAGTCTGGGACATTGAAAAGCAACCACACTTTGGAGGGAATTTAGAAAGTAAAAAGGCACAGGCTTAAAAAGGACTTGAGAATACCTTAAGTTTACACCTGAGGCTGATCCCTGGCACGGACACAGCCAACCACAGTCAAATCAAATACAAAATTCAAAAAACTCTGGGGAAGGGGGAGAAGCTGACTTCCAGAGTTACTACATTTTTAGATTCAAATGTCCAGTTTTCAACAAAAAAAACAACAACAAAATCACAAGGCATACAAAGAAAAAGGGAAATATGAATGGCTCATTGAAAGAAAAAAATTAGGGCCGGCCCGGTGGCGCACTGCTACAGTGCGGCGCTTGGGCCGAGGGTTCGGATCCCACATACAGACCGGTTCCCGCTCACTGGCTGAGCGAGGTGCGGGAGCAACACCGAGGGTTGCAATC